AAAGTCTAATGGAACTAATACGTAGTATTTATATCTTACACTTAATCAAACTTCTTGTTTAAGCCTGACTTTTGAAGTCCCCGTGTTGTGAATTTTTGGTTGAGTTTTCTTTATGATTGCAAATCTGTTACCTTGGCCGCAGGACATATCGTCAAAGGTAATGGCTTTCTCACAGCAAGGACCACGGGCAGTTTGTATTCTATCTGCAAATGGAGCTGTATCTAATGTCACCCTTCGCCAACCTGCAATGGGTGGTGGCACTGTGACCTATGAGGTCTGACGAGTTTCAGCTTAAAGACACTTACCTTTTCTGTTGCCTTATGCTGTTGCATGTCTTGTATATGTTACAGTCTTTTTACTGGAGTTTGCTGTTGCATGTGCGGTAGTCCTTTTTTCTGTTTGAAGTGTTTTCATAGGAGCGATGAATGTACTTGAAGCGGGATGAAACACAATAAAACCTTCAACAGATGGTAATAAGCCCATACGAAATGAAACTCAATTGCGTCTTCTTTTCCCCTTTTTGGTCTTTCCATTCTGATGTCAGAGAGGACTTCTTCATTTATGAAGCCTAGTTATTCCTCTTGAAATATCATTTAGCAGTAGTTGGTTAATAATTTTTAGGTATATTTGATTGTTTTATTTTATGAAGGATTACCTTCTGGTTTTGTTATGTTGACATCAACTCATGCATTGTCTATCTTAGCCGGAAGAAGAGATTGAGAGAAAAAACGAGAGCAGCTACAATGGAAAACCATTGCTTTGGGTGGTTTTGAGTAATAAACTTATCTGCAACGAAGTTGTCATACCAATTTTCAGTTGTTTGGATTGTCTTGGTGGCTCTATCTTACGTATTGCATATTGCACAAGTAATTTGATTTGCGTTTATTGCAAAAGTTGTGAAGTGTGATCTTGATGCTGAATTTTCTAAAGGTGATGCTTGCATGTATACTAATTGTCTTGTAACATACCTTTTCGCCATTGGTCATCGAGCATGGTGTTATTCTTATATGCAGGGCCGATTTGAAATCATCTCATTATCGGGTTCATTCTTGCTGTCAGAAAGTAATGGTAGCCGTAGCAGAACAGGTGGTCTAAGCGTGTCGCTGTCTGGGCCAGATGGTCGAGTTTTGGGCGGTGGAGTTGCAGGGATGCTTATGGCTGCCACTCCAGTACAGGTGCTATTCTAACTACCACTTCGTCGGAAAATTTAAATATACATACAATAATGTGCAAAAAAGTTGGAAAAAATAATGTAAAAAGACACTGCTCGAGGAATAGTGCTTCCTAGTCCACTGGTTTAGCGTTTCATTTGCTAGGTTGGGGTTCGAAGCCCAACCTACGTACGTATTTTAGCTGATTTTCTTAAAAAATAAAGGTGGTACAAAACCGAACCCTGACCTCTAGAAATAAGATTCGACTAAACTAATAGGCTAAAGCCCCTTCACAAAAACTAAAGTGATAATAAATGTTATAATGTTACACAGTTGGTTTGCGTATTTGCGCTCTTCTATGTTGCACGGACTCTCCAAACCAGCTGCCGCACTCGTATCGGATCCTCCAAAAAATGCAGTACTTTTGGAGGATCCGACGCGCATTCATCGACATTTTCGGAGAGTTCGAGCAACATAGCTCTTCTTTAAATGTCGACACCGCTTGTGGAAAATCCGCATGCCGCTGTATGCATATCGTGTTACTTGCTAACGGTTTCCTCTTCACTACCAGGTGGTTGTGGGTAGCTTTATTGCGGAAGGGAAAAAGCCCAAGTCCAAGGCACCATCTCCAACTCCACCTTCCAATATGTTGAATTTTGGTGCTCCGGTCACTGAGGCGAGCTCTCCTTCCCAGGGTGCCTCAAGCGACTCATCGGATGAGAACGGTGGCAGTCCTCTCAGCCACGAACAGGGACCTTTTGGTAATGCTGCTCAACCAATGCACGGTATGCCAACGTATTGGGGCCAAACAATGTGAAAATGCTTCCTTGAACACGACGTTCCCAAGGGTATTTGACTTCTTGATCCGCGATTGATCATAGGCAGCAGATTATAGGCGTTATATCGAGTTCTTGACTTAAGCTTGATTGCCCTTTTTTTTTTTCCTACTTGGTTTTCACCTTTAGTTTATCTGTTGTAGGATAGGTCAAAAGGCATGGCTAATTTGCAGAAAGTCAAGTCATGGTTTCTTCACCACCTTAGTCTTAGTATATTTTAGGTGACTTTGTGGTTTGAGTATTTACTTATTCTCAGATTGCCAAACCAATTTTATTTGTAACTTCCTTTTCTAGGTATTTGTTAGATATGGTAGTCATAAACTGAGTTGATTAGGTCTCAATGCAATTACTATTTCTGCCATATTAATTCTTCTATTTCCTATTAGAAGTTTGTCCTCTTTTCTTTCACTTTTCTAACTGAAATTTATGAAGTCCAAGTTAGTTTAGAAAACTTGCTGATTTATTAATAGGAAAAATGATACTCCCTTCGTTCCAGTTTATGTGAACCTATTTCCTTTTTAGTCCGTTCCAAAAAGAATGAACACTTTCTAAATTTGGAAACAATTTAGCTTAAACTTACAATTCTGCCCTTAGTGAGAAGCTTTTATAACCATACAAATACTGTGGATCCCATTTTAACCCATTTAGGACCACAAATTCCAAAAGTCTTCATTTATTCTTAAACTCCGTGCCCAGTCAAACAGGTTCACATAAATTGGAACGGAGGGAGTAATGTATAGTCCCTCTCAAAACAATAGCTGAAAAATATATATATATTTTTTTTTTTTGATTTTGTATGTTATGTACAAAAATTATATATATTTTATATACTTTTTCGGCTATAGAATATACATAGTTTCTGGCGTGGGCTAAAAGTGAAAAAAGCCTTTAAGAGTTTAGTCATGAGAAGCTGGTATGCATGATAAATTTGTATTTGCTGTTGTAATTGCTATATTTAGTACTTTCTTTTTTTGGGAAAAAGTTCAAATATACATCTGAACTAATAAAATAGTGAAAATAAAGAAAGCACATTTTATGAACAGAAGCTATCAACCAGTCAATAGTCAGGTTAGTTGGAAAATGAAAATAATAATTATCTCTGCCAAATATCAGAATGTGCTGGAAAACAGTGACAAAACAATTGGTGATTTAGGTTTGAGCCAAGCAAAATTTCAACTTCAACCTGGCCAAGTTGGTGTCTAGTAGGAGTGGTGGCAGATCCAAAATTTAAATTTTATTGGTTCTGAATTCTATAATGGCATCAAATACTAATAAGTGAATTTAAATTTGACTTTTGTGTATATATAATTAACTTCTTAACACAAATACAAAATTTAGAACATATCTTCTGGGTTCGATCGAATCCGCAAGTTGTCTTCTAGCTTTATCCTTGATGTCAAAGCCATAAACCAATGACCTCTAATACCACAGTTTTGTACCAAATTTAATGCAGATGGCTACGTGTACTTACCACTAAACTTATTCTATAAGAGTAAAGAATTATTCTCCATTCTTTAGTCAAAATCAAGAAGCAGATATTGCTCATTCATGTGTGCTAACTACCTTGAATCAAAGTAAAATCTAAGTAATGCTCTAATCAATCCACACAAGTTTGGTGGTGTTTGATTTAGTTGAAACTCAACTCTCTGCAGTTGCTAATTGGCCAATAATTAGTTGGAGTATAAGCAACTAATAAAGTTGTATATCCATTTTTTGGGGGGTGGGTGGTGGGGTGGAGGTTATGTTAATGGTTGAGGGAGAAATTCAAAAATAGCCAGATTTACCACTGGTCGTTGAAAAATAGCCAAGTTTCAAAAGTCATCGAAATTTAGCCACTTTAAATCTGAGCGAAAACACTGTTCAAAATCCGGAAAAATACGCCCGGAAATTTTACGGGAGTTCTAGCATAAGTATGCTTGAACTCCCGTAAATTTTACGGGAGTTCAAGCATAATTATGCTGGAACTCCCGCAAATTTTACGGGAGTTCCAGCAAGTATAATTGTCCAGTATAATATACTGGAGTTTGGAGCACTGGTGCTCCAGTCTCCCGCAAATTTTACAGGAGTTAGCAAAGTATACCGGTCCAGCATAATATGCTGGAGTTCGTACACAAATGCACCAGAACTCCCGTATATTATACTGGACCAGTCCCTGTTGCAGCAAAATAGTGGCTATTTTTCATTGACTTGATAAACGCTGGCTATTTTTCATTGACCAGTGTGAAAACTGGCTATACCATGATATTTTAACAATGGTTGATGTGGTATTCCACTCAAGTTTCTCTAAACAATGTCTAAGCACTTTTATCGACTCAGGTTCAAATTTCACCGCCACTCATTATAAGATTTATTTTTCTTCACGTGTTTGACTCGTAAAAAAGAATTAGAATGATAGTTATACGATTTAACAATTGTAAAATTGACCAATGGCTGATCCTTAGTGTTATAGACGAGTTCGCATGAACTTAGTAACTTAGATTTTCTATTAAAAAATAAATAAATATTTATGTTTATTTAATTGTAAATCTAGTCATTATTATATATTAACTTGCGATTGCTTCAGAAACCTATAAATTTTAAATTCTGAATCGACCTGTGAAATTGACTACCCCAAATTGCCTAGTATAATCCTTGCATGCATGTGACATGTTTCAAGCTTAATAAGATAGGGACTAATTCACACCAATGACAAACCTTTCACAACTATCTTTCACAAGTTCTAGTAACTTGCCATTTATCAAATTGTCTGTCACTTTCCATACTCCTACCACTCTACAAGATCTATGCACTAAAATAGAATTGTACTCCATTATATGTTGTCTTTATATACACACCTTTTATTAACCCTTTTGGCTGGCCAATTCAATCCATACTCTCATTCAAGAACTCTTCATTTATCACAACAAGTCAAGTAACAAATATAACCAAGTCCCAACACCTTCAAAAAAAAAAAAATCAAGTATTTTAGCTAAACATACAAATTTCCTAGCTAGTGCTATCGCAAATTCGCCTTATGGATTGCATAATTTTGCCAGTATCAATCTTGAAAAGGTGCCGTTCAAGCCGATTAGGTTATAAATCACTATCTGAAAATGGTTATGGAAATTCAGATACTGATCAGGTGACTGTGGTTGTAGGGAAGGAGAAGAGAGAATTCTTGGTGGAGCCATTTATATTGGAAAAAAGTCCTTTTAGGGTTTTGATTGAAATGGTGAGGAACAAAGAAGATGAAGGGAAAGTAAATGAGAATATTAGGGCAAAGAAATTGATTTTTGTGGATGTGGATGCAATCTTGTTTGAGCATATGTTGTGGTTGATGCAAAATGATAGTTCTTCTTTGTTTGAGCTTAATCTCAAGGAAATTATCGACTTCTATGCTCAAGATAGTTATTAAAAGAATAAAAGTATGATCCTGACTCGATATTAGAAGTGGATTGAATTTTACTTGACTGTTTATACGTTCATTTCGTATGATGAGGAGAAATTTACATAGATTAACAAGAAGGTATTTTTTTTTTTAATTTCAAGTCTAACACATTTTTATCTCTATTCTCTTGTACAAAGGAGTTCAAGATAAATAGTTTTTGGATATTTAGAAATAGTTGATTATTTTGGAAAGAATATATACTAATTGGTAAGTAATATTATCTTATTGCTCCTCTATGTTATTTTCATCAAATTAATGGTATTTCTTATTGCGTCTCTCTTGCTTGTTTTCCTTCCTAGATCAGTTCAAAGATAAATATTTGGATATTTATGTCAATTTTATAATTCACTTCTGTATTCATAATGGCAAGTAATTATATAACAATGAGGAATCTCTAATTATTTTGCTTCTCGGTATATTTTTTTTTCTTTCACATGTTGATACAAATGACGATAATAAAAATTGAGAAATCATCAAAGACAAATGATCATCATATCATTTATATCCTTAACAGAAGTTTGAGTAAATGTTCGAATAAATTCATCTAATATTATCTGCTGGCCCTCATGTTCTAAAAACGTTGATCATGAATACCACAAAGGTGATGCTTGCGCCATGAACAGTGGCGGATCTATCCATTGACTTTGGCCAAATTGTATAATATATTCATAGATAATACTTAAAGAATTCAGTAATTGACCATGAGCATCCATTATGATCACATTTGACCATTTTAAATTTACACTAAAATCAGTAAAGCACCCACTATCCTTGAAAATCCACATTTGATCATCAAACTTTCATATTCAATAACCCAATTTTACCACATTTACTATCCAACTTTAGCAATATTAACTATTTCATAGTAAGCAACAACAATGTTGCTGCGATAACATGAAAATAGACGAGTAATATTTCTCTCAGTCCGAAAAACTAGAGAAATAAATGGACTACAAAATAAATCAGGGGATTTTTACATAAATAGCCAGGCCAAATTTATTGTTTATTTTTTTTAACTGGTATACATAGATTATATACTAATTATACGGATATTATACATGGATTAAGTATATATTTTATATTCACATGCTATTTTCATTTATGTTGTTAGTGCCTATTTGGGTTAATTCTTCATAAATATCATGAAGAAAATTGGATGGGCATTGCTCTGCACTATAGCAAGATTACTTGATGGGCCATAATATTGGGCCGTTTGACGGGTAAATTTTAGAAATAGCCAGATTTACAACTGGTCGTTCAAAAATAGCCCAATTTCAAAAGTAATCGAAATTTAGCCACTTTTTATATAAAGATAAATCTGAGCGAAACACTGTTCAAAACCCGGAAAATACTACAATATATTATGTTGGAGTTCCAGCATAAGTATACTTGAACTCCAGCATAATATGCTGGAGTTCATACACAAGTGCACCGAACTCCAGTATATTATGCTGGACCGGTCTCTATTGCAACAAAATAGTGGCTGTTTTTCATTGACTTAGTAAAAGCTGGCTATTTTTGATTGACCAATCCGAAAACTTGCTATACCGTAAAATTTAATCCTGTTTGACATCTACATGAACCCAAAGTTTCTAAACAGTCCATGGCCTTGTTTGAGGCTTTTAAAGTTGATTTGTGGTTTCCCTCTATGGGATTTGACGTTTAAATCTAGAAGAATTAACTCAAATAGCCGCCCACCCGACCTCTTAAATTAAATATAGTCAGTGAAGGTATAATATAGTCATAGTTTATGTATTATATGTGCATAATCATATATAATCAATGTATAATCTATGTATATGACAAAAAAAAAAAAAGTAAATAACAAATATGAAGGGTTATTTGTGTAAAGATCCCTTCAATCAATTTGTTTGGACTCTTTGACTTGGCATTATCCTAGGTTTCCAAACTTTGAACAGTCTAAATGTTGGGCAATTACAGCATGCACTTATATATTACTTTCTTCTTTTGGTTTCCATTCAATGTTCGGTACCAAACTTTGAAGTCAGTTAAATCGTTCACGCCGCATAAATCCCATCAAAAAAAAAAAATGCTCCGTGTTAGAATAATTTTATATATTCATAAGGCTCGAACCCGAAATTTCCAATTAATAGTTCTGGTTAAGAATAGAAAGATCATTAGATCATATTCATCCCGCTATAATCACTAATGGTCATTACTTTCTTTGTTTCGAACTATAATTGGGACTTAGTTAGGTATAGTTCCCTTTTGGAGAAGACTTTTTGATTAATTAAAGAGGTTGATGTATCCGTTTAGATAACTTTTGTATTTTCTAAAGTTTTTTGGAAAAGAAAAAAAAGAGAGCAGTTCGAACAATGTTAGGTCTATTGTATACAACTTACTTTGCATTTTTGCAAATATTATTTTACGGCTTGAACACGTAATCTCCGTGACAATAATTGTTACGCCAAAATTTTCTTTCACTCTCTTCGAAAAGAAATATTTGCAAAGAGATAAACTTTTTGAAAAGGATTCTAATTGGGACTAAAAAGAGGATCTTCACCCTAGCAATGGACTCCAAACTAAGTTTCTTAATGAATCTAAGTTATACATATTTACAGTGTATAATTTTTTAAAGTAAGAATTACAGGCCCATGTCACTTGGCCTAATAGTCCAACCGAAAATGACCCAAATTTGAAGCTCTTACCCTATTTATCCCATGTTGTACATAACTTGAAAGAAACTTTTCAGCCTTTAGCCCACTATTAAAGACATACTTTTAGAGTTTTTATTATTTTCTTCTTTCTTCATTGCCTTCTCTCTCACCGCCTCTCACTTCTTTCTTTCTAACCCACATAGATCCCTCATCCTCTCTTAACCTAGCCCCCGCTATTCCCCCTCCTCTACCTCCCACGCAGTTCTGCCATTAATGGCTCGAAGAAGGCTCGGGCTCCTACTCCGTCGTCCATGGTGGCAAGCAGAAGAATATTGAAGATTTTTGAAAGAAACATGAAAATACACACAGATCTGAAAATAAATAGCTCTCAAACTTGAATTTCACCAAAAAATAACCACTAATGTTGGAAGATTTTGAAGTTTGAAGTTCTGGTCATTATTATTATGACCTTGAAGTCTCGAATCTGAAATTGGGTTTGGATAAAAATTATAACTATGTAGCAGTTTCTATCAGCACTGTATACTAGTGTATAATTGTATATATGGATATACAACCACCTCTTATACAGTATTATACATGTTTATACAAGTTATACAGTATTGTATCATTGTGTATAATATTGTAAATTATATATTTTTTCAGTTTATAAGGATGTATATATATTGTTAGTGTGTAAGAGGCTTCTACAGAAGTTTGACACTTCCTTCTCTTCTTCTTTTTCGTGTAATGTGTTGTATGAGCGTTAGAGGGATTCTACAACTCATTTACCAAGTTTTTATTTTTCTTTTATCCTGTTGGATTGCTTCAGCAATTGCACATAAAAGTGTTTGAATTTCTTACCTTCAGATAATATGTATTATTCAGGATTTTTGAGTTGCGTTGTGGCTGATTTGCATTTTTTTATCAAATGCTTAATAATCAAAGGAAATCAACAGAATGAAAACAACTGGTTGTATACAGAGGGAGCAAAATAAGCTGTCTTTCAGGAATTAGCCTATTATTTTTTGGGCTATAGATTTGCAAAGTGGTATCTAGGCTATTATGTTGCAAGTCAGGTGTGTGAGTTGTATTTATGTGAAATTATCCCTTTTTTAAAACCATTAACGTAATATTTAATCGGTTATTACAGGTTATTACTCTACTTTCTATGTCGCTATAATAGGCTATTGTTATAGGTCAAATAAATCTAATAATTCACGAATTTTGTACAAAGTTATCATAAACTCTTCAATATTTGGCTGTCCTTGGCATATTCTTGATATATTCCCACTATTTGGGCAGTTAGCTTAGATGCTAATTATGGCATTAAGTGCTATATATTAATAAGAAACTTTGTCAGAGAAAAAATAATAAGATATGGAGGAATAAAGGCTAGGTAAAGATTAAAATTTAGCTGGTTATAATAAAATAAAGTATATAAAAATATAGAGGGGGTTAAATACTAATTGACTTAAACTATATGTAGTTAAGTCTTACTACGGAGTTTAGATTTGGAAAAGAATATTTTATATTCTTCCAAAAGAATCAAGAGTTTTAAGTTTTATACACGGACTATATAAGAATTTACAAAATCATATTATTTAAGCTATCAGTATATGCCATGGACATTAGTAATAAATGAAGGGAAATTTTCATAAAGCACTATCTTTTAGTAGTAATTAGCCATCTATAGATACCATTTGCTATATTACGGATTATAGATACCTTTTCTGTGGTTATAAGATGTATTTGATGTATTTAAGCTATTGTATTCATGAATACAGTAGCAAAAATAGGCGTGAATCAGGGAAGTCCAGCTAATCAGTTGTTGTATTGTATTCGAGTGTATTCGACTGTATTCATGGAGTGAAACGTGGGATTACAACTGGACAGATTATTGTATTCGACTGTATTTCGCTGTATTCACGGCGTGAAATAGGGGATTACACTGTTTTTAAAACGGAAAGTGAATCAGTTAACATAATATACTCCTAATATAACTCAACAAACTCAATTATAACATACAAAAATTGTATTTTCAGTTATAAAAAGATTCTCAACCGAAAAATACCCCAAAAACATAGCAATCTTCAGAGAAATTATGTAATACATCTGAATACATAAATTATATTAATTAAAAAAAATGAATATATTCATGGAATATAGCGAGATAGTGAATACAATGAAATACATAGAATACATTGAAATACAATAAAAAAAAGACAGTGAATACAATGAAATACATGGAATACAACGAGATACATTGAATTACAATGAAAAAAAAAAATAATGAATACATGAAAATACATTGAAATATATTAACAGAAAATCAAGTTGCTCAGCCCCAAA